TCTGCAGCTGTACAGACCTGCCCGGACAAGGGACCTTGGCACTGTCCCCCCTCCTACAGCCGGCCCCTCGGGGAGGACATCGCAGGGGAGCTGCAGCTTCCCCATTCCCAGCTGGAGCACGTGTAGCTCTGCACCAGCCACCGTCACCGGGAGAGAGCTGTTTGCAGCCCCTGCCAGTAGCACACGGCGGCTCCGAGCGCGGTTGAGAACAGCCAGGATGAAAAACCAGGAGTCACGCTGTACCGTGTTTCCAGGTGAAACAGGCTGGGGAGAGACAGGCTGAGAACACAGCACGTCTTTTCCAGGATTCCTCATCACCCTTTCGGGGGGCTACGTGCCTACACCCATACCGAGCCACCCCTGTATGCTCCTGCCCACGCGAGTGCAGGGCCCTGGGGGAAGGAGCCGGGTTGTCCCCGTGCTGCTGTGGATCCCCGGGGATGCCCCCGGCGCGGTGGCAGCCTGAGTCACCCGGTGAGTCAGACTGTGGGCATGGGCTGCTGGGCACCAGCCCTGCCAGCTGCGGGGGCGATGGGCAGCCTGGAGGGTGTCTGGAGAGAGAGGAGGCAGCAGCTCCGGTTGGTGGAGAAAGGAAAACAGGGCAGAGGGTGCAGGGAGGAGAAAGGGATGGCAGGGAACGAGGAGGAGGAGGAGTGTCTAGGGGCAGGAAGGCTTGGGGTGCAGCAGGAGGATGAGGGAGCTGGCAGGTAGTCCAACCTGCTCTGGGTGGACCTGCTCTGGCAGGGGGGTTGGACTAGATGATCTCCAGAGGTCCCTTCCAACCCCATATCATCCTGTGATTCTCCATGAAGCCTGGGTTAGTTTGGTTCTGAAGCTCTGTCAGTGTGTAAGGGCTGCACTTTGCCCGAGTTGCTGGACTCCGTGCTCAGCTCCTGCGGTGAGCCCACCCTTGGGCCTGGAGCTGGCATGGTTTGCCAGGGGTGGCCGTGTAGAGCCCAGAATTGCTTTTTTCACCACCGATTCCCAGCCACATGCGTGGACCTCCCCCCCCCAGCCCACTTCCAGGTTTCACCTCCGTGCCGGACCTCCAGAGGGAACAGTGGAAGGAGAGTAGGTGTGGACACCCATGGCTGGGTAGCTGAAGCCACCCAGAAGCCCACTTGGCCCCAGGCTGTAGAACCTCCCCTCAGAGGTTGGGCTGTAGAGGTAGAGCGCTCTGCTCCCAGGCACTAGGGACCATTCTCCTGCCTGCAGAGACCTTTTGCCTGGGCTGTGCTCCTGTTTTGGGGACACGTAACCCAGGGCTGCTCCCGCTGATGTCAGCGGGGCCTTTCATCATTGGTTGGGAAGAGCTTTGGCCAAAAAAAATGGAAAGGAGAAGAAATATTCCAGGCAGGAGGGTGGTGTTCTGGCTTGATGAAGAAGGCCTGGCTTTAAACCTGTTATTGAAACTGGAAAGAGGACATTTTCAGTCTGAGTAGGTAAACTCTCGTACCTTGAAATGACTAAACACTCACCACTGGAAGTAACACCTTTGTGCTAAGCTTCGAATTTCCTCCAGCTGCTGCACGGGGCTCACGGCAGCTGGCGGGGCTCCTTTCAAAGCTCTTTCCTCCTTTGTAAGCTCTGGAATTAACTTACAGCCTCGTACGGTGCGGAAGAGAGCGCCTTCTGCAGCGTTACCCTGGGGGGGACGTGTCCCCCGGCCGTACCCGTGGGTGATGAGGGCCAGGACGGTAGTTCTGCAATAGGATTGTTCTGAAGGAGACTCAGCGAGGGTTTGGGCTGCAGCCCCGGAGGCAGCTGTGTGGGGAGGAAGCTCTGGGTGATGTCACTTCACAGCATGCCCTCTGCCTCCTGGGGTGGGTTTTTTTTCTCTCTTCCCCCCCCCCCCTTTTCTTTTTCCTGGTAGTGGCTGCAGCAAAGGCTCCATTATTTGGCAGCGTGGCATGGCTTTTGTCTATAAATGGAAGCAGTTGGCCCGTCTCCCAGTATAACACAAGATAGCCCTGTGCATCGGTTATGCAATCTGTAGCTTGATGACTTCATCAGAAGCAGGGGGAGGGCCAGGGGGTGGTAGGAAAAAGCCTTCACCCTCAGCTCGGCTGGAGTCAGACCATGTCTCTGTGTGTGTGTGTGTGTGTGTCCCCAAAAGCGAAGGGGTGGGTGAAAGGACTCGCTGGGTGACAGAGCAGCTGAGGGGAGGATTAGTGGGTGCCTTTCCCTGATCCCCGGCTCGGGGAAGCCCCAGCAGCTGACCCCTGGCCATGCTGCAGGGAACCACGCTTGACCAGGTTGGGAAGTGCAGCATGAGACCGGAGCGGGGCAGAAGTGGAAAGAGGAGCAGGGAGGAAACTTTCAAACCAGGGCAGATGTTAAAAAGAGAAAGAAGCTGAATATCGGAGAGCTGCCTCTCAGCAGAGAGCCCTTTGGGGAATATCTGTGCGAAGTAGAGATGTGGACAAATTGTGTTTTCTTGTTATTTCCTCAGAAGGGTCCTTGAAAACCTGACCTTCATGCAGAAAGGCTGAGCCTAATTTCCCAAGCCACACGCAAGCACTGGTTTTAACCCTTTCATTGACTGGGTTGGGTGTCATAAGATTACTTTTCCGTATGTTCCCCATCACCCAGGAATTGGCGTAACTTAAACCTTCCATGAAGTGGATGAATCTAAACTTCACCCTGGAGTGCTTTGCACATAGGATCCTAAAGTGATATAGGTCCTTTCCATCAAGTCGGTGGTTTTGACTGAGTACCTACCTCTACAAAACAAGGAGGTTCTGCTGGGCAGATGTTCAGGCTGGTTTTTCCAAGCCAGCATTGCTCTGCAGCACTCACTCTGCCTCGCTCAGCCCAGCAGAGGTGAAGAGTGTTGGCATCACCACAAGCCGCTCTGGGCTAGTGGCTTTGATAAAGGTGGTCCTGCCTCTGATGAGCAACTCCTGCACAGTTTGGGGTTAACCACAGTTACTCATCCCTCCCTCCCCGGGCGGTCCCCGTGCATGGAGAGCTGGGTGCAGGATGGTGATGGGTGTCGGGGGTCCCCAGGCAGGGCAGAGGGTGTGGAGCCAGCCCCGGGGCGAGGGGTGCCGGCTCCTCCGGGTGTCCCACGCTGGCTGCGATCTAGGGCAGGTCCCAGCTGAGAGGTGCCCCCTCCGGACACGGGGCAGAGAGGGGCACCAGGCCTTGGGGGGCTGTGAGATGCTGGGGTCCCATCGAGTGGAAGGGAGGGGGGAGGGAAGAGAAAGTCCCTGAGCTCTTTTACACCAAGGAATGCCCGGAATAAGGCTGGGGAAACACCGCTTTGCAGGCAAACCCCCTAATCGTTATTTTTTAATTATTTTTCCGCTCCCTCGCTGCGCTCGGAGGGGTCCGGGAGAGTTGGGTGCGGGACGGTGGTGGGTGTTGGGGGTCCCTGGGCAGGGCAGAGGGTGTGGAGCCAGCCCCGGGGCGAGGGGTGCCGGCTCCTCCGGGTGTCCCACGCTGGCTGCGATCTAGGGCAGGTCCCAGCTGAGAGGTGCCCCCTCCGGACACGGGGCAGAGAGGGGCACCAGGCCTTGGGGGGCTGTGAGATGCTGGGGTCCCATCGAGTGGAAGGGAGGGGGGAGGGAAGAGAAAGTCCCTGAGCTCTTTTACACCAAGGAATGCCCGGAATAAGGCTGGGGAAACACCGCTTTGCAGGCAAACCCCCTAATCGTTATTTTTTAATTATTTTTCCGCTCCCTCGCTGCGCTCGGAGGGGTCCCGTAGCTCGCCGGTCCCCCCCCCACCCTCCGCCCGGCCCTCCGGTGCCGCGCCGGTTCCCGCCGGGCCGCGGGCGGGCAGCGACACCTGCCGGCGGCCAAAGCCTCCCCGGGCAGCACCGGCGGTCACCGGGGTACGGGGGGATACACGGGGCTTGGGTACCAACCTACGCCGGGATGCTCGCCGGCCCCCTCGCAGCCCCCAGCTGCCGGCGGGGAGAGGAGGTTTTGAGATTTACCCCCCCCCGGCCTCCTGTGGCTGCCTTTTCCCAGCGCTAAAAAGCAGCAAATTGGATTAGAAACATAAAGAGGAATTTTGGGAATAGGTGGCTGTGGTATCACGTGCCCTGCATCCTTTCAGCTACACCCTTTTTGGTCCTATGAGGACAGGCTGAGGGAGCTGGGGTTGGTCAGCCTGGAGAAGGCTCCAGGGAGACCGTATAGCCCTTTCCAGTACTTAAAGTACCAGGAGAGGTGGGGAGGGACCCTCTATCAGAGAATGTAGTGATGGGATGAGGGGTAACGGTTTTAAACTACAAGAGGGGAGATTTAGATGAGATACCAGAAAGAAATTCTTTCTTGTGAGGGTGGTGAGACACTGGAAAAGGTTTTCCAAAGAAGCTGTGGCTGCCCCATCCCTGGAGGGGTTCAAGGCCAGGCTGGATGGGGCTTGGAGCAACCTGGTCTGGTGGGAGGTGTCCCTGCCCAGGGCAGGGGGTTGGAACTGGATGATCTTTAAGGTCCCTTCCAACCCAAACCATTCTATGATTCATTGCTGCAGGATGGAAATCTTAAACACATTAGACGGTTAAATCCCGAGATTCTGGTGCAATACAGGGGGAGTTAATGCTGCCAGCTCCCACAATTCATTGTGTGCACCTGAAACCTCAGCTCCTCAATCCAGGGACTGTGTGAAACTGCTGGTATGGAGAAAGGGAAATGGAAAGAAAATATATTTATTGTCTCTGTAATGTGGGAGAAAAAGTTTGGAAAAACAGGACTCTGAAGTTGTATATCCTGAATGAAAATAAGCCTAGTAAACAACTTTATTAATATATTGTAAAGTGCTCTTGCTTTATCTGAGGGGGCTTTGAAGTCCAGGAGAGAAGAGAACCTGCTTCCTGTGGGGAATGGCCCATGGCTTGGTCACAAGCCATGAGCATCTTTCCAAGGACTCTTGCTTTCTTCAAGCTCCAGTCTTCACTCACAGACTTAATGCGTCTTGTTAATGAGTCATCATTTCCCTCGCCCACGGAGCACCCTGAGTAACGAGGCCTTCTCTCTCTCTTTGCACAGGAGCAGCATCAAGTGGGATTGTCTCGGACCACGGGGCCTATGCAGCCTTCTGTCCCACCGGGCTCCAGCAGCGTGGTCACAGGCACGAGCTCTGGGGGTCCCTTCCTGGGAAACCAGCCTCAAGCGGCCATCATGAAGCAGATGCTGATCGAGCAGAGAGCCCAGCTCCACGTGATAGAGCAGCAGAAACAGCAGTTCCTGAGAGAGCAGAGGCAGCAGCAGCAGCAGCAGCAGATCCTGGCGGAGCAGGTACAGCACGTGTTTGTCTCGGGCAGTGCAGCGCCTGCTGGTACGAGTGCGTGAGCGCTGGAGGCACTGCCACACCAGGCTGCCTTCTGTATGGGGCAGTTTTCTCTTATCGTGGTATTTCAGCAATGGCTATCAAAGAAGAGGCATCTGTCTCAGTCCTGCTCTGGGGAGGGACTCTTCATCAGGAAGTGGAGTGACAGGACAAGGGGTAACGGGTTTAAACTGAAAGAGAAGAGATTTAGATCAGATACCAGAAAGAAATTCTTGATGTGAGGGTGGTGAGACACTGGAACAGGTTGCCCAGAGAAGCTGTGGCTGCCCCATCCCTGGAGGTGTTGAAGACCAGGCTGGATGGGGCTTGGAGCAACCTGCTCTGGTGGGAGGTGTCCCTGCCCAGGGCAGGGGGCTTGGAACTGGATGATCTTTAAGATCCCTTCCAACTCTAACCATTCTATGAACCTATGATTAGCTTGGCAAATATGACCCGTGTTCCCAGTGGTGGGCCTAACAGTCACATAGGACACTGGAAAAGTTAGCTCTTAACCTGGTATCTCATGGTTCATTTACTCTGGCAGAAGCAGGCTCTGCTACTGCAGCAACCAGAGTTGCTGGTCCTCTCCCCTACCTCTGACTATGGTCTTCCACCAGCAAAAGCTACCTACAACTGGGCAGTGGTCTGGGACAAAGAATTGACGTGGGTTAAAGGGAACCTAGCAAAGAACTCTACTCCACTCTGCACTGGTGAGGCCACAACTGGAATACTGCATCCAGTTCTGGGCTTCCCAGTTCATGAGGGACTTGGAACTACTGGAGGGAGTCTAATGTAGGACAACAAATATTACTGAGGGATTGGAGCATCTCCCTTATGAGGAAAGGCTCAAAGAGCTGGAATTCTTTAGCCTGGAGAAGAGAAGGCTGAGGGGAGACCTTATCTACAAGTATCTAAAGGGAGGGTTGAGGGATGATGGAGCCAGATTCTTTTCAGTGGTTCCCAGTGACAGGACAAGGGGCAACGGGCACGAGCTGGAATATGAGGAAAAATGTCTTTCTGGTGAGGGGGGCAGAGCCCTGGAACAGGCTGCCCAGGGAGGGTGTGGAGTCCCCTTCTCTGGAGATCTTTAAGACCCACCTGGATGCTCCTGAGTGATGTGCTCTGGGCAACCCTGCTTTGGCAGGGGGGTTGGACTGGATGATCTCTAGAGGTCCCTTCCAACTCTGAGAATTCCGTGAATTCCATGAATTCTGTGAAAGAAAAAAAGTGAGTATTTAGCCAGATCAGTTCCTTAAACTTGTCTCTCACATAACAGTACGAGCAACTACATTAGCGCACGGGAGAGGCAGCACCAAGGGAGGAACCAGAAGCTGAAGTGGGAGGACAGTAAAACTACCTCTCGCAGTGGCAGCGGGGAACTGCTGCTCTGGAGCCTGGCTCCTTGGAGCTCTTGGGCTTTGCAAATGCGGCTGTTAAATTGCCCGGTCAGAATGGTGATGTTTTATGCATGTTGAACTCAGCTGCAGTTTAAAAGCAACCCAGGAGAAAGGAATTGGGAAGTCCCGCTGCTTGGTTCCTGTGAGCTCCTGCCCAAGTTTAAACCTGCAGGCCCCTATCAGAAAATATTTTGATAAGTCAGAAGTTGGGGAAATACTACAGTTTAAGACCTGCTTTAATTTGACTTGGAGCCTGCTTTAATTGGAGTTAGAACCTGAGCGTGTTGTATAACCATGGGAATAGTGATAGCCTTCTGCTCTTCTCGTGGTCCTCGTGAGAAGCAAGGAACAGAGAAATTTTGAGAAAAATTCACCCCCAATGAAGAGGGAGGATGCTCCTAGAAATATTCAGGGTAAAGAGGCGTGAATTGGTTGTGAGGTGAGGGAGCGTGGAGGAGCAAGGTTGCCCGAGAGCCCGTGGCTGACCCTTCTGCTGAAGGCAAGCCTGAAGCGTTGAAAACCCTCAAACCTGTGGCTCTCAAATGTGCTGGCAGAGATAAGAAGTGACAAAGTGACTGTCCTCGGGCTCCTAGCTTTTTGGGCGTTTTGCACCTAACAAGGCTCCCTTTAGCTTTTTGATAGTTTGTAACGTGTACCGTGAACACAGGGATTAGTACTCGCTTCTTTCCCATCTTTGCCCGTTTTCTTACCTTCGCTCCGCATCCTCGGTTTGGGACACGGCATTTGTACGGCTGCAGATGAAGCACCACGATGTGTCCTCTTAGTAATGCCTTAGTCAGGCACACCCTGGGCTTTGAGAGCTCTGGTAAAGGCACTCTCTGCTTTTACAGTCAGCCCTTGATTGTGCTTTGGATGTGTGAGCACTGACAGAAGATAACCCCCCGAGGGGCTGGGCTGGTGGGCTGGATCAAGGGAGGGCAGCGTTTTGCAACCACCCGCTCCCCAAATACCATTCACTGAGACACAGGAGGGAAGGACGTGCCTCGGCAGCCCCCTGTTTGGGGTGTTTGGGCTGGAGAAGCTGTCCTGGGCAGCAGCGCTGGGGTGAGGATGCAGCACCGCTTGCACCAAGTGCTTTGAGCACTGAGGTGGAGGGAGATCTTGTGCCATGTTTGAGGTGTTTGGGCTGGAGAGCTGTCCCGGGCAGCAGCGCTTCGAGCACTGAGGTGGAGGGAGATCTTGTGCCAGGAACACAAACCCCTGACCTCGGCAGGGCTTGGGGGAAGGAGAAGGTGGCTACGGCTACCCTTAGACCCAGGTGAGCCAGGTTATCTCCTGTCCCTCCCTCTCCTTACAGCCCAAGGACAGTTGAGTTCGGGTGCAGAGGTGGAGTCTGACCTCAGCAGGGCTTGGGGGAAGGAGAAGGTGCGTGGCTACAGCTGCCCTTAGACCTAGGTGAGCCAGGTTATCTCCTGTCCCTCCTCCTTACAGCCCGAGGACAGTTGAGTTCGGGTGCAGAGGTGGAGCTGAAGTGGCAGTGAGTAAGGAGAGATGATTTAGCCTCGGTGCTTATTCCCTTCTGAGCCAAGAGGAGTCCGTGTGCTGAGTGCTCTCAGGAGGACTCTTGAGATGACTCTGCTTGTCTCTCCAGCACAGCTTGCTAGATAAGAAATGCTGCGGTACTTTTGCCACCAGCCCCTTTCTCAGCTCGCTGATTAATTAATCATCTTTTTCCTCTTCTGCTCTCTTTCCCCTCATTCATTTTCAGCAGTTGCAGCAGCAGTCACATTTGCCTCGGCAGCACCTGCAGCAACAGCGGAGCCCGTACCCGGTGCAACAGGTCAATCAGTTCCAAGGTAAAAGTCGATTTCTTTCTCCCATATTGAGCCAACATCTGGCCCTGCAGTGGGCACCTGAGGGTTCCTGTGTGTGGTGAAGAGCAGGGTGCAAGCAGCGTGCCAGGATAGGAAGTGGGGCTGTTGCACACTTGCACACACAGCCTATTTCACCGAAAGGGAATGCCCAGATTTGTGCATTTAGTAAAGTTTCTCGTTTCCTTTCTGCTCCCCTCAGCGAAAACTGCATTTTTTAATTTGATATTTGTTTTACTTCTTTGACATCTGGATTCTATGGATTTCTTTTGTTTGCCTCCGCTCTCATTATGCCTTTTTTTTTTTCAGCTAGTGTCTCTCACTCAATCTTGGTTTTACTCCCCTTCATTTTCCACTTTATCTAATTTGATGAGCAGAGAATTTCAGAGAGGTCATCTTTATCTGAAGAAGTGCCTGATAAATGTCAGGCGTGGGAAACAGTGAAACATCTGGGATGAAAATGGAGGGGGTTTTTTTTAACATTCTCAAAAAAAGCAAGCGTTATTTCACTGTGCTCGCAGGTAGCTGAAGAATGTAAGGACAAGGCTTAGGAAAAGAAGTTAATCTGACTTTTTAGGTGCAAAGCATCAGCTGAATGGCTTCACTAACCATGGATTCTAAATAGACATGAAAGGAACAAGCACTTGTCCTGTACATTGCAGTTCTCCTACCCGGGAAGCCAACAGGCAGCTGAATCTTCCGCTGGTGTATATCAAGGGTGGCTCCTTCTATAATCACCTGCTCGTTCTTATCTTTGCAGCATAAATTCTAGATGAACTGAAATTTTTCCCAGTAATTCATTTGCAAAATCAAACTATCCGTGTGTGCATCGCCATGAGGTGCACATGTACAATCTTCCCACATTAATGCTTTGTTGAAGCCTTGCCTTCACGTGTTTTATCACAAGAACTGCAGAAGAGAGTTGAGGCTAATCTGACAGAGCAAGGAATTCATTTTCATAAATGAGCTAATTTAAATATTTCACCATTTTTCCTATTTAGCCACAAGAATGTAATCAAGTGCGGTAGGTTATGTGTAGGTGAGACCAGAAGGTGGCCCAAAATCTTAAAATCTCTTGAATCTCTCTTTTGATGACTTCTTGCCTGAACTCTTGTCTCTTACTCTGAACACGGTAGTTCACAAAAGCACTATGTGAACCCCTTGCTGGCAGTGACTTCTTTGGAGGTTTTCAATGAAAAAAATAGCTAGAGATGCATTAAGTTTTATCATTACCTGTACACTTGAGCACTCACTGGAATCATAGCAAAAAGAGCTTCTAATCATGGAAGAAGGAGGTGATCTAAATTAAGAAAATTCGAGGAGACCCCAGTGCCAGTCATTAAGAAAACAGTTTAATTGATAGCATAGATAAAGTAGAAGCTGCCACTAGGTTCGCCCTGTGCAAGTGAGATCCAGATGGACTCTCTTCATGCTACAAAGCGTTTCCTTTGTCTACATGTTGGGGACCTGAGCTAAAGGCACCCTCCAGAAGGCAGCAAGAAGCAGCCACCCTCTGCATGGTGCGGGCAGAGCTATGGGGAGGGCACCTCCTTCATTCATACCCATCATGGGCACCAAGGGCAATGTAAATAACAGCACCCAGGGTTCTTTATTCTCCACCGATGTTCAGGTGCAAGGGACAACACGTAGGGGCTGATTTAAGAACATTTGGATTTCTCTTGTACGGTTTACAACTCCAAAAGCAACCCTTTTATATTTACATCTGGCATTTAGCAGCATTTGAGCTGGAGTAGCTGTGCGCCTCTCGGAGCTTCGCCTGCAGAGTGTTTTATTTAGTTTGGTGTGGTGGTGACTCAAAACCACAATGAACCCCTGGCATAATCAGAGCTACGGTAATTGTTTTTAAATAAAGATAGTAAATACAGAAGCATATTGGCTTCCCAGAAATCGATAGCTCCCCCCCCCCCCCAGCCCCCCGGAAGAAAGAAAGGGGAGGGG